CGCACACCCCTCCAGGGCCTCCCAAGCGCAGGCCCGGGCTCATGCTGTTTTCAGGGGGCGCACAGGCCACCGCCCACGAGCCACACTCTTCCCAGCCTGGCTCCAGCTGGCAGGGCCCAGAGCAGACCCTCGGTCTGCAGAGCCCGGAGAAAGTTGGGTACCACTTTCTCACAGGCCCAGCGCGCAGCGTGGTCAATGCTCTGCGGGAGAGCTGCTCCACTGAGCCTGGAAATGGCTGGGCGGCAGGCAGCAGAGCCCAGGCTAGACAGCTCCTGGGGGACCCCCTCGCCCCCCAAGAGGGCCACCTGCAAAGGGGCTTGCCGGGACTGCAGGCCCCTCCCGCTGTCTCAGGGTGCACTCAGGGCGGGCTGCGGGGTCAGAGCTCAGGGCCGGCTGCACAGACCTCACCCCCGGCCTGGCTCCGCTGGAGACGGAGCAGGGCCGGCCAGGACGCAGGGGGCAGGTTCTGCAAGAGGCCGTCAGGTCCTGCTCCTCTCCGTTAAGTGGGACCTCGTCTGTGTTGGCAGCTCCTGGGACCCAGCACCCGGCCTCTAGGCTCCGCGGCCTCCCCTTGAGCACCCTCGAGACACCCCTCTTTGAGGAGAGCGCGCCCGGCCACGAGGCCCCGGCCCTGGGAAGCCGCCTGCTGGCCGGCTCCCTGGGGCAGCCCAGGCCCGATCCCACCTCCAGCTGCTGGGCGCTTGAGCTGGGCTGGTGGGTGGGGTGCAGTGCGCACCACCGGCCGCCCCCAGCCGCAAGCTCGCCGGGCTCGCCCCCAGGCGCCCGCTGTCCAGCAGTGCCCCCAGGCCCCCCAGGGCCCGCACAGCGGCCAGCCTGGGCCCGGGAGCCCACGGAGGAGCGCTGTTTTCTAGTTCTCCCAGCATTGCAGACAACCTCGCTTGCAGGGGCTGCAGGGCCCCGTGGGGGACGGCCCCCCGCAGAGGCCTGGCCTTCACCCCCAAGGCGGGGGAACAAGGGAGCAGGGCCGGGCCCTGACCCTCGGCCGGGCAGGGTGTCTGCGGGGCGGCAGCTGGCCCAAACTGTCCTTTAAAAACTTCAGTTGGCCCCGAGCGTGCGGGGAGGGGAGCCCCGGCGGCTTGATGTCACCCCGCCTCCCGCCCACCGCCCACCTTTGTCTTGGGGAAGATCTTTTTTAACTGGAAGCCTTCAGGTGGAAGTACAGCAACAGCAGCAACAGAAAAAAAATTTAGTCTTTTTTAGGGTTAAACATCAGAAGAGAGCTGGTGCCGCTCTGGCCAATCAGCTCCGCCCCTGCCAGCTATAATATAGTCCCGCCGCAGCGCAGCGCTCACAGCCGGCGCCCCTCAGAGCCACTCTCTTTTTGTCTGTGGATCGCGTCTGCAGCCCCACTCCGATGTGTTCCGTCACGAGGGCCCAGCAGCGAGCCGTGCCAGCCCCCGCCTGGGTGGGGATCGGCGGCGCGCGCCC